CCATTTTGTTATTTTTAGCTTTTAGCTACACTTCTGCTAGTTTTTTTATTGTTTAATTTTTTGGCTGCCTTTTAATACCTTTTGCTTTTAGCTAACCTTTTGCTACTTTTATCCATTATATATTGTTACCGTATGCTAGTACTTATTTCGTCTTATAGCTAGTATTTTGTTCATTTTAGCTTTTAGCTAGTTTTCTGCTTGTTTTAACTTTAATAAGTCTGTTTCAGCTTCTTCAGTAAATTTCATCAATGTCGTCCAGCACTCAGCAATCACGCTACACATTTATTTTTATTACTGTGGTCAAAACATTGCAGTGTCGTTTTTTTACGTGTTTCTGTAGGTTTAGATTATTGCACAAATAAAGACTAGTGAGGATTCCTATCACTTATAATTCTCTGGTGCGTGTCTTTGTACCACCAGTGGTTAAGACATGTTGACGACCAGGGAAGACCTTATTACTACAGCGCTGATGGCTCCAGGTCAGAATGGGAGCTGCCGAAGGTAAGACGCTGAAATAAAAGCTGAAGTTCATCAGAAACATCAAGAAACTTCTCTGGCAGAGCAGCTAAAATCAAACTAACTCACGGCACAAAATGACTGCACGGTTTAAACTTCTTTGCTCTAAATCAATGTGATGAGTTCAGCATTTCTCACAGAACGCACTAATTCAGCATCTAATACCTGTTTTGAATGGACTTTGTTAGATCTGGGAACAAAATGGGTTATTACAGTACTTCTTCATCAGATAGGAACTAAAATCTTTGTGTTTGGGGCTTGTTAGTCAAAACTCATCTGAGAAATAACACCTTATTTAAACATTTGTTTCTCATAAACTCAAGTACATCTAACCCTCAGCACAACAACGTCTCACTGATGAGTTTTTATATTTATTTAAACTTGGGATGAATTTGTGGGAAAGACGAAGGCAGAATCTTATAACAGTGACTACATTTTTAAAGGTTGCGCTATAGTGTTCAACCTATTAATCCTCGCTTGTGTGTCTTGTGATTGTGTTGAATATTTTTTTCCTCACCCAAGTTTATGTTGAAGGGAATGACTTATTGTCCTAACATCTGATTAAAACTGTTTGTAGCGGCATGAAAACCTTGTTTAACAATCTCTCCCAAACCGTTCGAACTTCAACTTCAATTTAGTTTTCTTTCCCACCCCCCTTCAGTATAAACTCTCCCCACCTCAGCCGTCTGGAGACGTGCTGAAGAGTCGCAGTCTGGACAGGAAAAACGTGGATCCCATCGTCTTGACGAAGTGGAGACACAGCACCTACGCTCTGGACTCGAACGAAAAGGTCCAACAGCCACGTTTTATAAAAATATCACTAAACACGAATTTTAATCTGCCCTTTTTATGTCTAACTGCCTGTTGTTTGCCCACGTGTTTAGTATAAATGCAGCTTCTGTCCGTTGTGCTAACCAGCGTGATGTTTGTTGAGTCGGTGTTGTCAGCTGTAGACTCATTCCTTTTCAGCGGCTGTTAAAAACCAGGCGTTTCCGCTCCGGCTCTGCCCGGCCACACCCGTACAAACATAAAGTCAGTAGTCCGCCAGACAGAAACACTCTCCTCGTCTTTAAATCCGAGCACGTTTAATATGCATGACGATAATCTCTCAGCAGGAGCAATCATTTCATCTCTTTGTTTACTCCTAAAGGTGGTATCTCACCAGGACGCAACTAATAAACGTCTCGTCTCAAGAGCATAAGAGCTGCATTTTGACTCGTGCACAGAGCTTTCCTCTGACGACAAACACGCAAGGCCTTTTTCTTCTTGTATAAACGCAGCGCGCTGAATGAGTGTGCTGAAATATGTGGATAAACAAAGTAAAAAAAACGTATATCAGAAGCTAAAATCATCAAAACTGTCCATTGTAGCAAAAACATAACCATAAGGTAAAATGAGCAAAACTGTAGCTAAAAGCTAAAGCTAGCAAAATAATGGACAAAAGCTAAAATTAGAACAATGGTATCTAAAAGCCAAGATGAACAAAACTACATATAAAAGCTATAACGAGCTCAGAGCTTAATTAGCCGTGGTTACAAACATTCTTTTGCAAAACAATTGGTAAAACTGAATTTGTGCAAAACCACGGTTAAAAGGTAAAATTATCAAAACGGTACAAACGGCTGAAAACTTTAACAAAACCAAAGTTACAAGTCACATGTGCCAAAACAATAGCTTCAAGCTAAAGGTAGCAAATCTATAGATAAAAACTAAAATTTCCTGAACCACAGTTGAAACTTAAAACTATAGCTAAATTAAGATTAGCAACAATATAGCTAAAAGCTTAAATTAGCAAAGCAATATCTAAAGACTAAGATAATAAAAACAGCAGCTAAAAACTTAGAGGCTGAACCTCTACTATCTGAAATGAGCATAACCGTAGCTACAAGCTAAAATTTGCAAAACGATAGCTAAAAACTAAAGTTAACATAACTGTAGCTAAAAGCTAAGATAGTAAAACATTAGCTAAAACTAACAGGAGCACAAGAACAAAAAAGAGTGCTCTTGTAGATTTCAGAGGCAGACGTTTATGAAAAATAATGTAATTTTATGGAGATATATTTTAGTTAAGAAACTCAAAGTATAACAAATTTGCTAATTCTAAAAGTTATCAATCAACCTTTATTTATACAGGTAAATCCCATTGAGCCTCGAGGACTCATTTACAAGAGAGACCTGATTTCAACAAAGAAAGATGACAACAATGGACAACAGCAACAACAATAAGCAATTATAAAAACTCATACTACAGTTTTTTTTTTTTTTTTTTTTTAACAAATAGGATGGCTAAAAGGAAAAAGGTAACAAAACCAAAAAAACAGCTAGATTCCAAGACAAATGTATAAAACTAAAAACAGGAACATGTCTGCATTGGACCCTGCCAGGAGTCCAACAGATTCTTAAAGACACTTAGAGAGGTCAAGGTCGAGAGCTTCAAATCTTTTTGTAAGATATTCCAGGAAACAGGAGCAGAGTAGGAGAAGGCCCTTTTGCCTAGTTCAGTCCTCACTGAGGGAACACTGCAGGTAATAATGTCCTGAGAGCGCACTCCGTAGCTGCACTCACGCAGAGACATGTAGGAGGAGATGTATGAAGGCAGCAGACCAGCAGCAGAAAACTATAGTTTTAGCCCAATATAACAGATCGAGGCAAAAGTTTTGATACATGAACGGTAGAACTATCACAGAGTAGGTTAAGTAGTTTGATTACCAAAAAAGCTCACAGAAGAAACAATTAACAGGAAAATAAAAGTGTCATTGCTGAATTGGCATTTTCACAGTTCTAGAAAATCTGGTTAAAATCTGCCTATTTTTCTTTAAAGGTGTAAATTAAATCATGGATGTGGGGGACTAGCGAAGTGGACAACAAAATAATATTCACAGCCAAAACTGGACAAAGTGTCAGCCTCACGGACAGAAACTGGAAGATGGTTCCACAAGAGAGGAGCCTGATAACTGGAAGATCTCCTCCCATTCTGCTTTTGGAAACTCTAGGAACCACGAGTAAACCTGCAGTCTGAGAGCAAAGTGCTCTGTTGGGAAAATATGGAACAATAAGTTCTGTAATATAAGATGGAGCTAGGTTGTTGAGGACTTTGTAGGTTAGACGTAAGATTTTTAATTCAAATCTGAATTTGACAGGGAGCCAATGGAGAGAAGCTAAAACTGGAGCGATATGATCTCTCCCAGTAACTCCAGTTAAGACTCTGGCAGCAGCATTTTGGATCAACTGAAGACTTTTTAAAGACGTATTTGGACACCCAGATATTAAACCACTGAAATAATCCAGTCTAGACGTGACAAATGTATGAACCAGTTTTTCTGTATCACTTTTAAATAAGAAGCTTCTAATTTTATTGATGTTACGCAGGTGGAAGAAGGCGGTTCTAATAATATTTTTTAATGCGGGGGATAAAAGACGTGTCCTGATCAAAAATGACACCAAGATTTTTAACATTAGAGCTGGAGGACAGATTAATGACATCCAAGGACGACGAAAGACTGAAACATTTATTTCTAATATGCTCAGGTCCAAAAACATCCGCACTCCACAAAGTTCTGATCACCGTCCAACAATTTTCAGTCAGGTCATCTGGACAGTTTCTTTTTTTGCTGAAACGTTTCACCTTCCATCCAGAAGGCTTCATCAGTCAAGGAAACACACAACACAAAACCGATTCTTCCCCCAAACAGCTTACTCCGAGGTGGAACAAACCAGTTATGTTGGTGCTAAGATGGTCTCTTTGGCACGCCCCCTCCTCTTGTGCCGGCCCTCTTCCTCATCGACAGTCATGTCAAACTGATTCAAAACAAAAGTGTCCGTGCTCAATAATCCAGGTATACCATCCAACAATTTCAAGTCAGGTCATCTGGACAGTTTCATTTTTGCTGAAACGTTTCACATTCCATCCAGAGGGCTTCATCATTTGTGTGTTTCCTTGACTGATGAAGCCTTCTGGATGGAAGGTGAAACTTTTCAGCAAAAAAATGAAACTGTCCAGATGACCTGACTGAAAATTGTTGTATTGTACACCTGGATTATTGAGCATGGACACTTTTGGTTCTGCTCACCATGCGCACAAACGTAGGGTTATTTTCATAAACTGGCTGTTCAGATGTTCAGATTGCCGCCCCGTGGCTTGTAGGTCGCCATCAGAAGTCGGTTGTTCTTTTTTTGTGTGTGAATTTTGAGACAGCAGCTCGTCTCCAACGGTCGCAGCCCTGTGAGGTACCACCTGAAGTACGAACTGATTGAACCCGGTAATTCAGTTTAATTAGAAGGCTTTAAACATTTTTATATCTGAGGATTTTTCCCAACACGTTGAGTCTCTGAACTCTTTAAAAGTCTCTGAAAACGGCTCCAGCATGAACATCTTGATTCATTTCCACGCTCAGGTACCTCGACACACTCGCTGCGAATTACCATCACGCTGTTCCGCCGTCCCCGTCTTCTTAAATTTGCTCATTAACCGTCTTTTGTGTGCCTTTGTGACTGTTTTTGTGGTATTTTTATTTTTTACCCCATCCCTTTCTCTTCGATAGGAAGCTACTTTGGCCCCAAAGTCCCCCCCTCCTGACTCTGACTCCTGCTGTTCGTCTCCCAAGCCCCCCGCCTCTGTTAGTACTCGCCACTAACCTCACGTTAAAGCTGCGGGGCTGTAGGGCAGCGGTTCCTCCACAGGACTGACAATCCTGGAAACGATCAGATCAGATCCGTCTCAAGCATCAAACGCTCCATCCTGTGCAGGAACCGTTTTGTTTTTGTTAAGGGGTTAACGTAATGTCGTTGCATGGTGGGTTCATGATCCAAAAGGCTGTTTGTGCTTTGTAGTTTATTTACCTGTTTGTTGAATCAACTGTTTTGTGGAGAAAGTAATTTGAAGGTTTCTGGTGGCGTTCGCTGGTTTTTCTTTCACAATGCAGCGATTGCTTGTGTTCATGTGGGTTTGACAGAATCTTTGTGGGACGTGGACCTGCTGAGGTCGTCTTTGATTTATGTGTGCAAGACTGGTTCTGTTGGTTTATTTTAACACCGCCTCTTGCTTTTTCTGCAGCCATCTGAAAAGTGTGGCATCCTGAACGTGACGAAAATCACAGAGAATGGAAAGAAAGTACGGTGAGTGTCAAAATAAAACACTTATTATTAGATGTCCTCATGTTATAACTGTTAGCACAATCATTTGTGTTATAATAACCAATCAACTAGTCCAAGCATTTAATTTAGAAATGTTTGATCAAAGTTAAAAAGTTTGGCTTCTTGACTTGTTAAAACAATCAACTGATCACCTTAAAGGATTTAATGTTTTATACCCAAACCTGCTGGTGTAGACTCTGTCCAACCACAGAATAAAAGTTTGTTTTTTTGGATACATAATCCTGTTTTGTAGTAAATAATTTAAAATTGTGGACACTCTGCAGGAAGAACTGGACGTCTTCGTGGACGGTCCTCCAAGGTTCAATGCTGCTGTTTGCCAAAGGACAAGGAGGTGGGACCAGCTGGGTGAGTGTTATTATTCATCAGGATGAGGTGCATGTTGGGAGAGAAAACCTGTTGCAGCAACATTATTTACAAAGATCTACGAGTTGAAAACGCATCAAGTCTTGGTGGACACTGCGTGAGCAGTAAACTTTAAAGAAAGTGAACAAGTCGGGGACGAAAGGCGGCGTGTCGAGTCTAAAAACGTGTCTGAAGGTCAAGTCTTTAAGAAACAGAAGGGTCCTCAGGAAACACCTTGTTCATGCAAAAGTACCTTCTGTCCGTCAGACCGTTTTATCTTTGGTGGTTTTCATAGGTTCAACTAAAGGCTCCAGCAGACTCGGGCGGACTGCTGTCCGCAGAGGTCCGCGCGTACCGGATTAGACTCCACACGGACACCCTCAAGCCATGTCCATGCAAAGATCAATTTTTACAACCACGTGCACGTACTCTGTGTCGCACAATAAACTGCCCGGCGACGGACTGTTTTGTTTGCGACACCAATGTATGAAATTCCCCTTCGTCATCCCTGATCTGGTTTAATGGCCTTTTCTTTTGTTTTTTTGCCAAGAGGCAAGCGATCTCTTCCTCCCCCTCCGTTGACGCCATGACTGAAATTATGAGAAATGAAGGAACGAGACAATTAAAATCAGGCTAGGCGTGGCTGCGGGAGGGACTGGAGATTTCCTGGTGGTTCGGTCTGATTTGTGGCCTGCGCTAGGCCTGTCGTGATTGATAAACAAATCCGTTAATCACATGATGAATGAAAATTATTGACCTCATTCTCATTTATCGGCTTTATCATTTCTTCATGTCTCTTTCTACTGAAGACACTGGATGACAAAAATCTCAACTCCGGTGTTCTTCACTGACTCCTCCCTTTCTCTTTTCTCTTTAAAATCCATTTTAACCGTCCAAAATCGCGTTTTGGATCGTTAAAAGTAGCTAAGCTGAGAAGCTAAGCTAACAGGCCGACCTCGGGGGGGGGGGGGGGGGGGGAGACTTTGTATTGTCGAAGCTCCAAAATCCACGGTTCAAACTCGTGCCTTCGTGTAAAAAGTTATTTTTCTCTGCAAAAAGAAGTTGAGAACTTGTTTACTGATTATTTTATTCAAAGATTTGTGTGAAAAACGCTATGCTAAAGAGCTCAAACCACACCGAGCGTTCAAACAATATCATTTATCGCAGTCATTTCTGAGACGATTAATCGCCCAGCAAAATTTATCGTGACAGGCCTAGCCAGTGCTCCCTATTTTTTTTTTTTTTAGAACTTTTTATTAACATGTAAACACAGGACACCGCTGCGACTGAGCTGCCAGCTCTTTTAATTTTTTTATTTTTGCGACCTGTCAATCAATCCAGTAGGCGTGTCAGCAAATGACCAATCGGCAAACTCAATTTGTCCCAAAGGTAAACGCCCCTTGCCTGCGGAGCTGCTCTGCAGCCGGTCAGGGTGGATGCTCGAGTATGAAGTCTGCGTATCTCCACGCTGCTCACAGGACGCTTGAGTCTGTTGAAGCCTAAAAGAAGTTGACTCAGATAGTTTCTTTGTGACTGTTGGAAACAAACGGCATAAAAAGCTAATTTGAAAGTTTTTATTTTTTCATTATTATTTCTGTTATGTGCTGCCCCAAACCTGTTCATCAGTTGGATTCTTTAGCCTTTTAGATTTTAACCACTTTAGCACAGAATTAACAAAAACGTTCCTCTAAAAATGAGCAAAAAAGCAGCTAAAGTATAAAAATAAAACTTTGAAAGACCTGAAAGCCTGTATATTATTAACAAGAGAATCGGGCTCTAAATATGAAAACGTGACCGACTGAAGACCTTTGAACAGTTCTGGATTTAATAACACTTTAATTTGAATTAAAATATTGTTTTTCTCATCAGGAGTTCATTAAATGAACATTTTCATGCTTTTATGCAGCAGTATTATGATGCCTCCAGTCAGGATCATCTTTTAGTTGCTTGTGTGAAGTTTGACGAAACATAAACGTTTAAAAAAAAAAAAAGACCTCTGAACCGTTGAAGTAAAATAAGCGCAGTGAACTTGATGTTCTTTTTTTTTTTGCTTGTTCTTTTTTGCTTTTAGATGATGAGAATCCTCCTCGTGTTTCTTGGTTTAAATAAAAAATGTATTGAATGGTTAATTAAGAGCACTTCTGCACTTCACATCCAGTTTTCAGAGAAACAAAACAAGAAGGGGTTGAGCTATTACTTTATAATGATGTTTACTGTGAAAGATGTATTTTTCTGAGTAGCTGTGAGGATGCACGCTCTCCGACTGATCAGCTCACAGATCCCTGGAACTCCTGCTTCTCTTTCCTTGTTAAAATCTTAACTGGCAGCTGAACTCCCAACTTTGACTCTGAACAGGCCCATTATCTCCAGTATTAACACATTGTCCTCTCGTTCAACAGTAGTCTGTTGCACAATAACTCAACCATCTCGTGTGATTATGTGTCTGTTTTCTGTCCAGTTTGGAGGCGGTCAGTCCAAACCAGAGTTCACTGTGGATCTGAAGGGAGGGTCAGTGGACTGGGCCTCGAAAGACAAGTCAAGCAAGAAGCACGTTCTTGAGGTGAGCGAGGGAATCAAATGGATCCTATTCATCTTTTCTTTTGTCTTTTCCCTCTTCTCGGATGCTCAGCAGAATGTCTGCTAGGTTTGATTCAAGCACCAGTAGAGGAAAAAACAACAGACACATAAAGACAATGACAAAAAATCTACATTTATTTGTATTTTCATTCAAATGAGTGATTGGGACACGCTGTTTGTGCGTGAGGACTTTCTGGGTGACTGCTAATCACACAAAGATGTTGTTTCTCCTCCGACCGCAGCTGAAGACTCAGCAGGGCACAGAGCTGCTCATCCAGTCCGATAATGACGGCACGGTCAACGACTGGCTCAAAGCGCTGCAGGACGCCATCATCACACATGTGAGGAGCGACTCTGATTCTGTTTCAGCCCCGTCCAGCTCTGGAGCAGAGGAACGAGTGCAGAAAGAAGAGTTGTTGTGTGAACAAGGGTTTGCAGCTGTTCGATAAGAGCAACAGAGACACTATGTCTGAAACATTTCGTCTTTAAACTGAACAATATCTCTTTAGAAACATGAAAATGTAAGATGAACAGCTCTAAATAGAAATACATTGAGATCCTTCAAAAACGTTGTTTCTTTAATTGATTTTTCTTTTTGGTTTAGCTTATTTTACCTTTGAAGTAAGATTTGGCTACATTTAGCTTCTAGCTATGGGTTTGCTGATTTTAAGTTTTAGCAACTATTAAGCCTATTTTAGCTTTTAGCTACAGCTTTTCATTTTTTTAGATACTGTTTTGCAACATTTAGATTTTAGCTACTTTTTTCTCATTTTTGCTTTAGCTACGGTTTTGTTACATTTAACTTTTAGCTACGGTTTTGTTACATTTAGCCTTTAGCTACTGTTACTCATTTTTATAATAAAGTGATTTGATTTAGTTGGATTTAGCTACAGTTGCATGATTCCTCTTCAGAGGTCAAAGGGCACAGGCACAGACTTTTACAGCCGCTCGTATCTGATCTTCGTCTCTGATCTTCGTCTCTGCGTTTGTGTTTTAGGTCTCTGATTCTGACGACAGCAACGGGGAGGACAAGTCCGATTCCCCTGACCAGGAGAAGCACGACAAGGAGAAGGCCATCAAAGTCTCCAAGAAAAATAAATGTCTGTGTCGTTTTAAATCGTGTTGAATGGATGAAATAGTTATAATGGATGTTTTCAAGAGGAATGAATGTAAAGATACCGTGTGTGTGTATAAGACTGTAAACTGCAGCTTTACAACAAGAAGTGAAAGCTCAAAGTACAAAATCAGCTGCAGGAGTTGTTTGGCTGAGTGCCTCATGTTGTTTTTTCCTGCCCTATAAAACGACCGCTCATCGGTTTCAGTCCAAAACATCCGACATGGCGACCAGAGCGCTGAGACGAGTGGTGAGTAACTCCCTTTTGTCTCATCGTTCCTCTACAGCTATGAAGTCGGCGACCAGCGTGGACGTATCGGACAACAAAAAGACCAAAAAGAAGCTGATGCACTTCCTGACCCGTCGTCCAACGCTGCAGGCCGTCAGAGATAAGGGCTACATTAAAGGTTTCCTTCACACTGGATACTTTAAATCCTCCGTTTGCACCTTTTTATTTCACTTTTTGTCCTATTTAACAGATTCGTAAAGAAGACGCAGATCCATCATATTTTACTGTATATTTTTTGTGTACCGTACTCGCCGCCGTACACGTCACACCGCCGAATGAGTCACATCAGTCCAAAAATGTCTAAGAACGTGGAAAAAAGACAAATAAGTTGCTTTGCTGTATGAGTCACATCTATTATGAGTCACCGCTGACAACCCGGAAACGTGGGCCGGTGTTGTGCCAAAAATCAATTGGCTGCCAAATGGCGGCCGCAGGAGAGTGCACGGGAGGACTTTAACAAGAATTTAACTAGATTAACAATTAAAAACAATTATTTGTTTGCTCTAAATTATAGTAAAGGTGTGTCTCAGTTTAACTTTTCCTTAATAAATGCACTTTAACGGTCAAATCAGCTGCATTTCAAAAATCGATTTTCGGCTGCTGGAGCGCGCATAGAGACGACTCGCTGTGCAGTTCTTCGAAATTTAACAAGAGTAACGCCTAAAAACAATTATTTGTTTGCTCTAATAAAGGTGTGTCTCAGATAAACTTTTACTTAATAAATGCACTTTGATGGTCAAATCAGCTGCATTTCGCCTGGTCGGTGCGGCGAGATGCAGCTGATTTCAAGTTTGCTCCAGGAGTTCTGGAGCAAGACCTGTATGGCAAGCCAAGTGTCTCATTAATAGTCACTTTTATCTATTAACGAGACACTTGGCTTGCCATATTACTCGAGGGCCCTCTAGTGGCTGAAAATGGTAGTGTTCAATATTTTCCATGTCAGAATGAATGAAATTGGCAAATCTCAACCAAAAATTGGATTATAAATAAGAAAAAAAGTAAATTAGTCACTTCTCTGTTTAAGTCGCAGGACTTGCACATTTATGCAAAAAGCTGCGACTTATACAGCAAAAAATATGGTAATTTTGTTCCGAGCAAACAGATTCATTACTTACCATCATTTTCCTCCTTGATGCGTTTTAACTTGGCATCATTTTATTCTTTGCTAAGTTTATCAAAACTAAAAAAATAATAATAATTCCCCACATTATTAATTACAGATTTATACTTAACAGCCATGTTTTCCCCTAATGTCTTTGTGTAAAACTGTCTTTAAGATAAATTAAAGATCTTATCATAAAACTTTTCCAAACTCTCGACCATTGTTTTTGTTTAACTGTTGTTTAATTCTGTCTTCAGATCAGGTGTTTGGCTCCAGCCTGTCCAGTCTGTGTCAGCAGGAGAACACCACGGTACCGATCTTCGTGAAGTTGTGTATCGACCACGTGGAGAGCAACGGTGAGTCATTAACGGACGCGACTCTAAACGTTCCAGTAGTTTCTGTTTGCCTGCGTGTTGTGGATAAAGGCTTGGCCTCCTGACTGAGAGCAGCTGAAGAGTTTATTGAAGCGGTCGTTGACTCCTGCAGGTCTGAACGTCGATGGGCTGTACAGAGTTAGCGGAAACTTGGCTATCATACAAAAACTACGATTTGCTGTTAATCACGGTAAGCTACTTCCCTAAAAACAAAATTCTACCAGTTAGGAGGAAAATAATAACACGGACCTGCTAGAACATTAGCACTTAAGTAAAGTTCTTCTGAAGGTGTTTTGGTGTGGTGTGAAGCTAAAAGTTTCTGTTTGTCCAGATGAGAAGGTGAACCTTGCAGACGGGAAGTGGGAGGACATCCACGTGACCACTGGAGCTTTAAAGATGTTTTTCAGAGAGCTGCCGGAGCCGCTCTTCACCTACGCCATGTTCAACGACTTCGTCAGCGCCATCAGTACGTCCCACGTGCAGCTCAGCCTCTTGCTCGGGTTTTCACTCACTCTGACCTGAATATACCGTCAGGTTCACGAGAAGAAGCTTCACGGCTGCAAAACCCAGACACAGTTTAATTTGGGAACATAAAACAAAGTCTGTCGTATGACACATCAATTAACATCCTCATCACAAATAAGAAGTGTTTTGCTGCAGCAGACCTGACCTCTTGTGCTCCGTGTTAATTTTATTTTTAACCTTTTTTTCATCCTTTTGGATTTCTATAATTAGAATCAATTGTTTTTCTTTTGGCTGCTCCCTTTTTGGTCTCCACAGTGAGCATAGTCGTATGAAAGATTTGGAAATTGCTTGATGCCCCCCACTGATACAACCTGAGCCCGAGGATCACAAGACCGCGCCCTCTGACCCCTGAGCTACCGCAGCCGCCATGTTTAGAATCAGTAACTTGAAAACTGCTGCGTCTTAAAAGCAGCAGAGTAATCTACAAAGACGAGAGGCTTTCATAAAGCAGCCTGATGATTCAGAGCCAAACGTTACTTTATTAATGATTTATATCAGTGCTGCTCTGATTGGTCTGCGATTGGTGTCGCACATTTTACTGTAGCCTACTGTGCCCACGGCAGGTTCAATCAGCTGTAAAACAACCGGAGCAAACTTTACACTAAAGAGAAACTCACCACACACTGTCCTGATTGATAAACTGATATTTTCATGAGAAGCAATCTGACAAACTGTTAATTTGAACTTTTAGCTGGCGGGAACAAATCAAAAATATTAAATCAGAAGTAGGTTTTTCTTGTTTTGTTTGTTATAACACGGCTGCTTGCGTGGAGTCATGTCTAGGTCTGTCACGATAACAAATTTTGCTGGGCGATTAATTGTCTCAGAAATTATTGCGATAAACGATAATATTTGAAATTTGACAATAATTCGTAATTATTGTCAAATTTAAGAAGAAAGATTGGTTAATTTGTTTTGGGTGTAGTGCATTTTTTTGACCACCGGATGGCAGTATAAGACTTTGAACCGAAGGATGGATAGTGAGGGAGCGAGCAGCGTGTCTCTTTAAGAAAAATGAGAGGGAGGCCTCTTGACAAGACATGGGCTGTCTCTCAACTTTTTACACGAAGGCACGGGTTTCATCCATGAGTTTTTGGAGCTTCGTCAAGACAAAGGTTTTTTCCCGAGGTCGGCATGTTAGCTTAGCTCGTAGCTTAGCTGCTTTTAATGATCCAAAAACGCGATTTTGGATCGTTAAAATGGATTTTAAAGAGAAAGGGAGGGGTCAGTGAAGAGCACCGGAGTTGAGCCTTTTGTCATCCAGTGCCTTCAGTAGAAAGAGAGACATGAAGAAAGATAAAGCTGATAAATGAAAATGAGGTTGATCATTTTAATTCATCATGCGATTAATTGATTTATTGTATATCACGACAGGCCTACTTATATCAGTATAGCAGGCAGTTTAACACTGTGGCTCAGGACAGATTTGCATTCAGATTATTTAATTTATGCAGATTAAAAGGGTCCAAACCTCCTCCAAAGGTGGTCCAAGTCACATTTAACCCCATCTGGATGCAGTTAGACAATCCAGAAGGATGTCAGCTCTATGTCTGGACTGTCACTGCCCGTTATCTTATGTAGTATTTGAGATGTACTTATTTGTCAAAAAAGTAAAAAAAACAAACCCTACTTCTGTATTTTTATCATCTATATATACCATCATCTCTTCCATGTCTACCTCCTAAATTATTTTATTTATAAACTGTTTTTATTTTGAATTTTGTCGTAATCTTTCTCAAAAGATTTGGCAGCACGATGGCTCAGCGGTTAGCACTGTTGTCTCACAGCAAGAAGGTCCTGGGTTCAATCCCCGGTTGGACCAGTGGTCTTTCTGGGTGGAGTTTGCATGTTCTTCTCGTGCATGCGTGGGTTTTCTCCAGGTACTCCGGTTTCCTCCCACAGACCAAAAATATGCATGTTAGGCTGCTTCAGACCTCCCTTGCAGAAAAGATCTGCGAAGGGATTTGCTTGGTTAAATAAAGGTTAATAAATAAATAAAAGATGGACATGCACCTATGAGCATAGAAGCTCAGCCTTTATCAGCGTAAGATGGTGGTTGTGTCATTAATGGATCCTTCTCTGCAGAGATTCTGGACTACAGACAGCGAGTGCTCTCCATTAAAGAACTGGTCAAACAGCTGCCCAAACCCAACCACGACACCATGCAGGCGCTCTTCAAACACCTCAGAAAGTAAGAAATCACACGGATGTTATTTCATCACACTTCCTTTTACCCGTCAAAACAAAATGGATAATATGTGGCTCGTCGTGTTGTTCTTTCAGAGTCGTTGAGCACGGGGAGGAGAACCGAATGACCACTCAGAGCGTAGCCATCGTGTTCGGCCCCACGCTGCTGCGGCCCGAAACGGAGTCCTTCAACATGGCTTTCAACATGGTTTATCAGAACCAGATCGTGGAGCTTATACTGCTGGAGTATGAGAACATTTTTAGCAGGTAGACACAGGAGGAAAGAGCTTTTTCTTTTTTTTTAGTTTTGTTATCCGTATGCAGAGCTCCTCCTCATCCACCACGGTCCTGAAAAAATAAAAACGCATCCTGGCCCGGCTCGGCTCTTCATCTGAAGCCAACTTATTTACTGATCGTTTGCTTTTCGGACAACACCCGGAGCAAATGTCTCCTGAGCTGAAACGTCCAACAGTTGACCAAAAACTTTGACTCTCTACACTAAGCTTAATACTTTGTTCTGCTTGTGCCACTTTACTGCAAACGTTCTTCCTGTCCTGACTGGATAAACATGTGGATTATATGTTATAAACATGTGGGACAATCAGCTGCCGAACAGATGGGGAGTAAAGGAGCAGCAGAGTCCAGCCTGCTGAACGGGACCTGCACGAACTGTACTGTAAATCTTATAGTCTCTCCTGTATGAGTCGCACCTGGGAGGAAATCAAACGGCTCCGTTATCTTCAGGCTAAATTAAAGGTGAGCTAAAGCTAGAACAATGTGGGGGGGGGGGGGGGTGTTTGTCCTTTTTTTTTACAGTTTTATTTTAAACGTTCGTCTCGAGTCTGCTTCTCATCTGTATTTTTGTTTCTGAGAAACAAGATGGAGGCTCTGTGAACGCCTGAGAGTTCGTCGTCTCTGTATTATTTCTGCACGCCACCTTCTCAGTTTGACTCGTAGAACAAATCGTCTCGCAGCGCCGGTGCGAGCGACACGGCAGTACTCGCGTGCGTCTTCACGACTAACCGATGGCAGAATATTTTGGCGGACAGCCTCTGAACTGTACAGTGTTTGTGCGTGAGGGTGGAGCAGACGGATGGATGGACTTACTGACAAAATGTTGTACAAATGGTAAATATGAGTTTGTATGCCTTGAGTGTTCAAAATGAAACACGAGGGAGAGATCACTATGTTGTAACATGTGAGGAATAAAATTGTGAACTGGGGGAGGTTTACATGTGAGCTGAGATGGCTTTATCAAACTGGAATAAATAATTCTAATAAGAGTAATAATTAAGCAGTTATTTGTTTTCTTTACGTTTCATCATACGTTTTATTAAAATTAAATGTTTTTGTGCGTGTGTGCCCAAAAGTCTTACATCATCAACATCTAGAAGAAACATTTTTATAACGTGTCTGAGGTGATTACTAATTTAGCATCTAATAAGTTCTGGAAGACGACACCCTTAGAAATGATTAAATGTGACGTTTCACCAGAAAGTCCTCTCTCTCCATCTCAGGTGGTTTTCTTCATCGGTTTATTTACTGGTATTTAGGAGACCTGCTGGTTTCTTTCAAGACAACTTTTTATCAGACTGGTGCAGAAAACCATCTCCAGCAAAGTATTTATTTTATTTTCTCTAGGATCAGCTTGTGAAGTGCAAGGAAGAGGCCTACACAGGTGTGATGGTTTTCAAAATAAAATACCCTGCACACTAATGTATATGAAATGTACATAAAGAAAATGTACTTATTTAATTTTATTATCATTTTTGTGCAGCCTGGTACAAATCAATCCAAACTGGTTCTTGGCTTGGCGATTGAGGACACCAGACAAACTACTAGTTTTTCAGACTTTACTCTTAAGAGAAAATAAACTTAAATTAAGGTCTGTGTCTAAGAATCACACTGTTGTAAGTTGTGTTTAGAAATGTCTGTGGGTAGAGCTGTTGCCTCTCAGTGAGAAGGTTGCCAGATCAAATCCCAGCCGGGGTCCTTTCTGGCTGGAGTTTGCATGTTCTCTCTGTGCATGTGTGGGTTTTCTTCCACTCCGGTTTCCTCCCACAGACCAAAAACATGCATGTTAGACTGATTGGTAACTAAATTGTCCCTAGGTGAGAGAGAGAGTGAATGGCTGTTTGTTTCTACGTGTCCCTGTGATGGACTGGAGACCTGTCCAGGATGTCCCCCGCCTCTCACACTGACTGCTGGACATGGGCAGTGACCCCTGCAGAAAAGGAAGAAGCAGTAAAGATAATGGGGATGGATTAATATAAATGGTAGAAATATCAACTAAAGACAAGTGTCAATATTTCTACTGCTAAACTCTTAATCACAACCAGATTAATTTTGAATAAAGCTGTCTGAATATAATTGATGCTTTGTGCTGCTCTTGTGCTTTGACAAGCAAGAAAATTGTCAAATCTTTTACATTTCATTAATGTGTCTTCAGAATTCTGTTCTCTTGTAATTGTAGGGCCGAGCGCTCCGTCTGATTTCAGGTACACACTGTTCTGTGTCATTTTGATTCAGAGTTTTTACATTTTTTTCTGTAATGAACTGTCCAAAAGTATTTTTATTTTGCATTTCTAAGAATTGTTCTAAATATGTTTTTTTTGTGGAGATTGCAGCAGTGTAGGGACCTGCCTGATGAAGGCTGGAGGTTTTCACTGAAGTGATTTTGATTTGCAATCACTAAAAATCTAGATTTGAGTTCATTTTGATCACGTAGACCACTTAAAAAAAAAAAAAAGAGTTTACACTCCTGGAGCTTCAATTTTACATGGAAGAAGTGGACTGTGCTGCTGATGAGCAACGCAAACAATCCAAGTCCTACAAATGCTTTGATTTTTTTAAATTCCAAATTATGAGTATATATATTAATTGAGGGGCAGCAAATATTTACATTTACAAGTATATATTATGTAAAAATCGAGTTTTGTTAATTTCTACTTTCAAAATCTAATCGTTAAACCCATAGTATAAAAATCAGCTGTTTATGGTGATACTTTTATTATTTTGACTAGTTTTTTTTTTTAAAGATAAAGCAAAAGCATATTTATATATTTCTTTCATTTGGATGAAAAAGTAAGTCAATTTGGAAGGGTTGTCAATTCAAGATATATAAATGTGTTAGTCTATAACCTTTAGCTAGACTAAGCAAATGCAAACAGTTTGTGACATTTTGCTTCATGTATTTTATTATAAACATTTACTGAAGACAAACCACCCGTGCATCTCTAACCTAAATCTACAGTTGGCTTAGAAGATTTAAAAGACTTCCGGGATTTACTAAAATCAGCCAATCAACATTGGTGTTGGTAGTTGCCTAGCAACAACACAACCAATCACAGCAAGGACTTGCTTCCCTCTCTGCTCTAGGACGCTCGTGAGAACCGTTGTAGCTAACGTTACGTAACGCTAGCCTAGCATCTTGTCAATACTATTATTTCCAAAAAAACAAATAAAAAAAACTTTATAAAGACTATTTATGGAAATTTAATAATATGTGAAACATACTGAAATTATAAATTCCAAACTTTGTTGCGTTTATAACGGCTGCGAGCGAAAGTTAACCGAATTATGCTTTTTTTATTTTTATTTTTTTATCAAAGACGCCATATTTATTCCTGTTGAACTGGAGGTGAGTATTTAATTTTCTGCTAATGTATGTTACTGGAAAAACGGAAGTTTACTTTTAAACAGACGTTTCCATCGGGTTAAAAATTGAGGAAAGTAAGGCCATTTATTTTGTGAAGTATTAAGTGTTTTTTAAAAAAGCTAATCACTATTTTTAGTGAACTTTTTGAAGGTTAAGTCGGTCTGAGCACCCTAAAAAGCGCAGCACAGGCAAACAAAAATCTTTGCAATGCAAATGCCTGAAAATGTGGCAGGACTGCGGCTCATGGATTTTAATGAGATCTTTGGTGTCTGGTCAGGGTTAAACCATGATAATAAATTCTTTTCTCAGAGAATACAAAGCATTTGCAGAGGGTAAAGGTCATTTTTTATTCAGCTGTGTACAAACTTGTGTACGCAGAAATTTTCTTTTTTTAGTCACGTATCCGCTGGGAGTTTATATGAGCGTTTATATTCTTACATCATTCTTGATATGAGATAAAAAACAAAATAATCGAATTCACTTGTCTATCAGTTTTCCACAACACAGTTATCTCCAACCAAAAATGGCTGTTTGACGTCAAGTGACGGATGACGTCACGCCGACTTCAAGAATATTTTTAAGCCGTAAAAAATACCAGTACCAATACCTTTCTTTAGATATCAGAATCTGACATTCACAGCAGTGTGCCCTGGATAAGCGATATGAATATGCAACAAATGACCAACTGGCTTATATTCAGTGGAAAAGTGTGTCTTGATACAGAATACAGTTATGGCTGAGACTTTTGGGGAATAACTTGAGAAAAAGGAAAAAATGGAGACATTTATTTGTTGTATTCTCACATAATTTTGTGTTTGTGACTAGCGAGTCTTTAAAAACCACAGTATGTTTTTGCAAAATTGTTCTCTAGGTTGTACACATTACTTTGTTGCCCTTCTCCACCCCTAAAATTCAAGCAGCGTGTGAGCCTCTGTGATTGACGCAAGGAAACTGAGAAGCACCGGGATCATTTCGAGACATTTTGGAGACTTGGGTTTGCCGTTTGCTGCCCAGTGTCCAACAGATGCAGCTCAGTGACGCTAAATTCTTTGTTTATGATAAATGTGCAAAATGTGACTAAAGTTAACATCCTCAGTAGTTTGCAGCCAACTTTTTAAGTGGACCAAGAATACCAAAGTTCATGCTCATTAATCCAGGTATAAATCCCACAATGTTCAGTCAGGTTATCTGGACGGTTTCGTTTGTTGCTTAGACATTTCGTCCTTCATCCGAAGGACTTCTTCAGTCTGAGGAGCCCACCAAACCAAACTGAATCCTACAAACAGCACACTCCCAGAGTGGATAAAAAAAACAGTTTGCTGGTGGTAAGATGGCCTCCGGGGCCCACCCTCACCCCTGTCATCTCCTCTAAAGGCAACCATGCCAACGTGGTTCAAAACACCAAAGTTCATACTCTTTAATCCAGGTTTAAATCCCACAATGTTCACTCAGGTCATCTGGATGGTTTCTGTTTTTTTCCACTCTAGGATTTAGCCATTTGTGGGATTCAGTTTGGTTTGGTGGGCTCCTCAGACTGAAGATGGACCAAGAATAGTTTTGTCTTTTAAATTGTTCCCAAATACTTCAAAAATTCTACCTTTTGGATAAATGAATTGGAATTGGCAGAACCCTGTTACATAACCGATGACGTAGAGTCTAAAGAGAGCAATGTGTCAAGGTAGAAATCCGAACATTTACTTTAAGCAGTAAATCAGAATGAATCTAACAGAGCCTTGAGCGGCTCAATTCTAGAACGTTGAGGTGCCAAATAACAGCAGCGTAACTGGAGAGACTTTAAAGTGGCATGCTCGATCGCTTCACGTCCGCTTGATCATTTCTGGAAGAAAAAAACAAATAAAAACGTGGACAACAAACGCGTGTCAAGCGTGTCTCGAGGCTGCTATTGCTGCTAATTAATCCCAACCAAGTGAATAGTATTAACACTTAATTATTTTATAAAAAAATGGACGACACTAAATAAAAAAAGTATTCTGATGGTGGGAAGAAACAAATAGGTGAATCTGTGTTGGGATAATTATATAAGTGGGAAAATAAGAAATATATTTAAACTTATTGTTGCCTGTCCAAAAAAGTTCAATCTGGTCCTCTGGACATTCAAAAAAACAAAAAACAAAACAAAGCAAAAAAATATAGAAACATTTCGTCTCTCATCCAAGAGACTTCCTCAGTCTGAGGTGCTGTATTCAGCTCAGTCTCTTAAATAGCACCATCTCAGACTGGATCAACCAGTTTTGCTGCTGACAACCAAAACCAGCTGATCACATGCTCAAGAAGGACCATCAGCCTAACAATGGATCATTAGCAC